AGTTCCAGTATCTTCAGCTTCCAGACTGACAGCAGAGGTGGTTGCTCTAGAGCTTTGGATATTTTAACTTTTGGAACTTCGTGGACTTTGTGTTCAATTTGTGAAAATAGTAAGAGAACATTTAGGATTTGGATGTGGTTCCTAGTGGTGCACCAATAGAGATTTTGGGGGCTGATACAGATAGCAGATTTTTAAGGAGGCATATCGGCCGATACTGACCTGATTTCTGATGCAGCTGTGTCCAGCTGGTAAGTTTGTTGTGGTAGATGGGGAGGGAAGGGATGTTGCAGCACAGTGCATTCCTTGCATCTTCTAGCTGTTTTGTTGCAGGTCTAGTCCATTGCGGTTCCTCTGTGCAGAGATGCTGTGAGATTTCCAGGTTTTGCACAATTATCAATTTCTGGTACATTCTTTTTGAGTATACAGAGGAATTTTTTTCTATCTTGTCCAAGTGTTTTTTTTTTTTCATGTTAACAGTTATGTTGGTCAGGAATCTTAGTTAATTTGGGGACTTAAATGGTGCTTCTGTGCATGTGAGTCTATCAAAGATGAGCTGGCCTTCAGTTTTTCATGACAGTATTCTGTTCCTCAGAATTCTTTCAGTTGTACTAGTTTGCCTCCTTTTTGTTCTAAGGCCTTCCATGAGTAGAAGAGCCATTTGCATTTACAGGTCATTTAAATTGCTTATGGAAAACCAGTCCTTAAAGAAAAGCAGATGCAATTTCAGGATTAATTGAGTGACCTAAAGTAGTACCCAAGTAGATCTACACACAACCATTATTTTTATGTTTTCATTTTTACCTATTTTTACTTACGGAAATGATCGGATATTTGAATATTTTCGTAATAACTGTGTAATGGTTTAAATCAAAGCTTGCCCTCAGCTAGGCAAAAACAAGATGATACAGGGTAGATAAAAAGGTTTAAGGTATTATCACAGTTTTAGATAAGGTAATGCATTGGGGTTTGTGTAAGTTAATCATATTCTGGAGAATGTAAGTTAATAATATTAGTATTCTTAGCAAAAAAGCATTTAGTAGGGGGAGGGAGAAGAGAAACTAGCGGTTCTCTTCATCTGATGAGTATCTGATCTGTCCTGTTCTGTGTTCGATGAAAAGTATACAGTGGAAAGTTTTAAGTGGAAATTTTTGCTCATATGAAGGATTTAATTTTCTAGTGTTGTTTCAACAACAAATAAGGATTAACTTGAAGAATAGTTCCTATGCATGTCCTGCAAAAACAGAATGTAGATTTGGGAGTTTGTGGGGTGTGAAAACTTAGTGGGAGATAGGTAGAAGAAGAATGTTCTTTAGAGGTACCAGGAGGAGCAAGAAGGCAGTGAGCATGTTTTGGTGGGTATAAATGTGTACCATCCCTCACGACTTCGAGTTCCCTCTTGATGTCAACAGATAAAAGGAACAATTTCAAGCTGTGGTATACCAGCCTGTAAGCGGTTCAACTCTGGGCATTTTCATCACCATGCTGACGGTGTTTTTTTTGTGCCTGGGTATTTGTGTACTCAGATCTGGGTGCTTGGTGGTTTGGCTCTTTTACTGGCTTTAATCTTTTGCACTAAGAACTTTAACACAGTTTGTCTTTTACCATCAGTAAAACTATTTTTTGATTCTGGTGTTTGCTACATATGCTTTCTTTTTTCCTTCAACAAAAACCCAAACTCCCCCTCCTCAAAAAACCTAATCCCTCCCCTTGCTTCCAGGCCACCTGCTGAAGTGTGTGTGCGCCCTGAGGTCACCAATTACCATCCCCTTTATTTAAGGGGATACATTGAAATGCTGTCTTAGGACCTCACAGCATTAGTGTGTATACTGTTTAGGGCCCTTGTCTGGCTACTCCAAATTGGCAGTTAGTTTTTCCGCTTCCCTTTGTCCTTGTGCAAGTTCTTTAGGACGGCGTTTTTCAACCCATGGGTCACAACCCTAAAATGGGTTGCAAGAATATATGAAAGGGTTGTGAACAAACTTTAAAAATGGATCAACAAACTTTAAAAATGGATTCTCCTTTAAAGGAGAAAAACATGGGAAACTGGATTTTTGCTTGCAGGCTGGCAGAGTTTCCTTATAGTAACTGGGGCACTGGGTCAAGACTGGTCATCAATGTTTACAAATGGGTCCTGGTACATAAAGGGTTGAGAACCACTGTTTTAGGAGGTGGAGGGCTGCAACAACCCCAAACACAGTTTCTTTGCTCATGTCCATGTGGCCCAGGAGAGATCTCCATTTTTTTTTTTGGGTGCCTTGCACCTGCTCTGCCTGGTACTGTCAAGATAGCCAGTAATACATTACTCATGTCATGAAAGGGTAGGTTGGATCACTGTATAGTATGACTCCAGACATGGCCATATGTCCTAGTGAATAGGTGGCCTGAGAGAATATCCACAGCCTTGTTGAAGAGGCTCACTTGCTTCAATATGTGAACATCATCAGTTCTTTAGTCAGCAACATTAATATTATTTAAGTGGCTTCTGTGATATGTTTGTACCTGTATTCCCTGACATACCATTACTTGTTGAGGTGCTTTGTGGTATGGTGATTGGGAGGCACCAGAATCAGTCTAAGGCAGGGGTTCCCAACCCCTGGGCTGTGGCCCAGTGCTAGGCTGCGAAGGGTTGGCCGCTGGTCCACAGGAGGGCTGGCTGCCAGACCGGAAGTGACTGTGGACTGGAAGTGACCAGCATACTACGGACCAGCAGCCAACCGTTTTTTATACTCAGTATAAAAAAGGGTTGGCTACCTGCCCACAGTGTGCCAGTCACTGCTGGTCTGTGGCTTGCCCATCCTCAGTTTAAAAGGTTAAGAACCCCTTGCCTAAGGGTCCCATTTATAGTGCTGCATGGTGTTGCATTGTTTTGCCTGCTAGGTGCTGCACCTTTGGAGATGCTCTCCAAAGGCCTGAATTGCACTTAGCCAGCACAACTGCTTGCAGTATAGAGGTGACACTGGCAAAAGCAAAGTGATGTGTCCAGGTGTTGGGGTCAGCAGAAAGGGCCATAACTCAATTTTCTTTGTGTACACTATAAGGTTTTTGTGATGAAACTGAAAGCTGTTCTGCATTAGGATATATTTATATGAATGTCTTCACATATCTAGTAACCTCTAATTGAACTTTAAAGGACTTGACCTCAAGTAGAGACCCAGGTTTCAGCCAGTATAATTTTTAGTCAAGGATATGACAGAATACAACCATTATAGCTGCGCTAGCAAAAGTGCAGAGATTCAGCAAAGCTATGGTTTTTACTAGTATGTTTTGTGTTGTTACGAAGGAGAGAGCTGTACTGGGATAATGAAAGTACAAAGTGGTTTTGCTGGTGTAATGGCACTGTTCTGCATTGGTGGTAAAGCTGGACTATTGTAAACACAGTGAGGCAGCTTTGAAAGCATCTTGAACTGACTGCTTTGAGTTCTCAGGGTGTGAGAGCATGTTTTGATTGGCAGAGCAGTGGTTTCTATGTTGAGTTGCAGTCTGCTTTAAGAGTTGCAGAGCAGGAATATACAGCCTGTTGTAATGAATCTGTAGACTTTCCTCCTAGAAGAAAGAAACTTTCAGGCAAGGTAGAAAGGAATGTAGAAAATTCAAGTCCTTGTTTTCTCCAGAACAAAGAATACAGCCAATCAGGTGCATACAAAAAACTTTGGTGTAGAGCAGTGTTGATTATGAGAGTTATTCCTCTTCTTCCCCCGTGTTTCTCTTAAGTTTCTGTGGGTAAAACTCCCTAGTATAGAAAATGTTATGCTGATATACAAGTATTTTCACTTTTACAGAGTATTAGGGTTTTTTTTACTTAGTATAGGGCCCTTTTGCTGGCATAACATTGCATCTGTGCTAGGAAGGTTTGCTATGCTACTATATCTTTTTTTTGAGCATAGACCTGGCCCAGATGGAAGGCTTCATCCTCTCTGTAAACCCAGCATTTTCCCCTCTTATTTTCCCCAATTATTAACTCATTCCCAGTCATTTTTTTTATCTAGGGCTGTGCTAAGAATTCCGTCAGAACCAATAATTCAGAATGTTATAGGAATAAGAGAATCGGGATACCAACACAGATTAGTGGGCCATGCTGTGTAGTATCCTGTCTAAAGGTGGCTAATATTAATTGCTTCTGCAGAGAGGTGTCAGAATCCCTACTATAGAATAACCTGGCCATTATGGAATTTTCTTCCCTAATTTTAGGGAGTTAAGTTGCTCAGTTAGTACCAGAAGCTGGAGGATTTGTCTTTTGACTTTTTCATTTTATTTAATGCAAGTTTGCTTTCAACTTATGGATTTTTTAATTGTCCTTGTGTTTTAATTTTTTAAATTTGGCATCTTCTTACTAATTTACGGTAGGATTTGAAAAAAATTAAAAGTATATGCTGAAGTGTATATATTAAGATAAAATCTGCACATGTGAGATTCTGTTGAGAATAAATTTCATGTATGTGTAAACCCCCCCACAAAAACCAAAAACCAAAAACCAAAAAAAACAAACCCTCTTCATGTCAACAAAATTTATAAGACTTTCTCCCTGTGCTTATTTATTTTTTTTTTTGTGTATTCAGACCTTAGCAACTCAACAGAGGCTGCCAGTTAGAAAGCAATAAATGCTTAAGTATCCTAAAACTGTTCTGAGATTTCTTAAATTTATTGCCACTGTTACTATAATATTTGACCATCTCCTAATTGCCATGTGATAGTTCAAGAAAACTGTAGGGAAAAAAGCATAATAGCAATTCTGAAAAGTTTTCTGTGATATTTTCAAATAATTGAATGAAAAGACTCTAATCCTGATTCCTGTATTGTGCTATGGTGATATGCATCAATTGTTGCGTTAATGTAATAAAGTGCTCAAGGCATTTAACAAAGAATATCTGTATTGTTACAGTCATTGCAATTAATGCTCTCAAATAGTTATCTTTCGGTTAATGCTCTCAAATGGTTAACAAATAGTTAGGTTCTCAGTACTGCATACCCAAGTATTTCTTCTAGAAACACTTACTTTTTTTTTTTGAAAACTTTCAGGTCCCTTCACAGATGTAGTCACTACAAATCTTAAACTACGAAATCCATCAGATAGAAAAGTGTGTTTCAAAGTGAAGACTACAGCACCTCGCCGATACTGTGTGCGGCCAAACAGTGGCATTATAGACCCAGGAACATCTGTAACTGTTTCAGGTAAAAGCAAATATATTTGTTTTTGATGTATAGCCTGATTTTTGTTGGTCTAGAATTACAATAGCTGTTACATAACATAATCTTTGGTTTTTTAACAGTGTCATAATCTATGCTTTCTTAACAGTATCATTGATCATGAGAATATTGAAATTCTTTTCTGCAGTCATGCATGTACCTGCTCCCCACTAATTTTTGTTAAAAGCTAATATGTGAAAATCCTGTTTACTGAAATTTGAGAGCTAGCTTCCTGTATTTCTGACTTGAGCCTATTAACTGTCATTCATAGAAGGTTTTCTGTATAGATGACTGATTTAAATAAGGTCAGGTTCAAAGAAGAGTTGTGTTGTGATAGGAAAGGGGGAAAAAAAGAAGAAAGGTAGTGAAAGAAATGTGACTTACCATATCATATCCTGTCCTAACCTTTAAGTATGCTGCCCATACAGAAACAGGAAGAGGAGGTTAGAAAGGATCAGAGTAGCATTAATGATGCTCTTGCTTGATACTGGTGTATTACATTTTATAATGTTCCTTGAAGTTAGAGATCTCATTTTGGTTATGATGTAATTTATAGTGGTATGTTTTGACATTAGACAGTCTCAATAGTATTTGAAAAAGTAGTTCAGATGTTTAGAGAACACTTGGTTGGATCATAGTGCACTACCTTATTTAAATTAAGAAATCCATATAATTAATTTGGTCACTAAATCAAACTGTTAAACAATTACCTTTCCAGATTATTCCAGGTGGCACTGGTACTGACCCCTACTATATGTAGAACTCCTCTGGATTACAGTACCTCTGTGGCTGCATAAATTGAAGTAGAATGCCTTAGTGAAGTGTACTGTATGCCGGCAGAAGGGTTTTTTTCTGCTGGTGTTGCTATACCACTTCCTTGATGATGTGAAGTAAGCTAACAGAAGCCTTTTCTGCAGCACAGGCTTTGCCAGCATAGTTGTGGCACACCCCTACCTTACATAACTGTTCCAACAAACCTTTGCAGTGTAGACCAGGCGTCAAAATACCTAACACTTCATTATAAAACAATTTTGTGCACAAATATGTTGAAAGAATTTATACCTCCATTGTTCACAGCGTTTTTGAAATGCCACAGAAGGAACCAAACAAATGCTTTTTTGTCCTGTGAAATTCTACTCAGCTTTGGCTGACATACATACTTAGAAAAATTATCCTTTCCTTCTGTCCCTTGTGTTGTCATCAGATTTTTGGCAGTATTCCAGAGTAACGAAAATAGAGACTGGATCCTTGCTGTCTTCAGCAGCAGCAGCAGTAAAAAAAGCAGGAGTCTAGTCTGGGAATCACAGAGAGGCTGAGATGAGGGCAGGCAATTATTTTGGGCGGAGGGCCACTTACTGAGGTTTGGCAAGCCATGAAGGGCCGCATGATAAGCAGCCAGGGGCAGGTAAATATTAATTTTTTCAAATTTTTTAGGGGCCCCGCAGGCCAGATAGGATGGCCTGGTGGGCCATTTTTGGCCCCTGGGCTGCTTTTTCCCACCCCTGGGCTGAGAGGACTGGGCTGGTTTCTCTTCCAATTCAGCAAATGTCCCCATGGCTCATTACCTTTCCAATCTAAGCATGCCACATGTTTTTAAGGAAATTCCTGAACGAACCATGATGGGGTGGGTATGAAAGGGAACATAGCTGACTCTCTCTGACCACCTCTGTTGCCCCAGTTTCTCTCCTTACTCGCAACCTTTCTCTCCTTACTCCTTTCTGGCAGCCCCCAAAAAGTGGGGTTTGTGATACAATGGTGGTGGTGGAGAGGAGGTCCACCTTTGATCATACAGATCCAGTTATGCTTATAACTAGGTCTTCCTGGGGTCCCCACAACTTAGCAGTATAGATGGCAATAGAATAGCCAGAGCCCTTATGCACACTTCTCCTGTAATGAAGTATAGGAACTGATGAAGAGTTATGGGAGGCATAAGAAAAGTGGTGAGCAAATGGTCATGGAGGGTGGCATGTGCTGGCTCCTCTTATTTAACCTGATGTGTTATGTAACACTTCCATGTATCCCATGGAAGTTGAACAGCAGTTCATGGCCTTTTTTGTTGCACACAGAGACACTTTCATTAGATATAAAATTTTACTTTTCAGTTTCAATTTTGTGGACTTCAGCTTTACTTACTGTATCTTACTGTTTCCTTATTAGATTATAATCCTCTAGTATTGGATGTCTGTTTCTTGGTAAGCAGTTTTAGATTTTGATCAGGATGTCATATGTGCTGCTTGGACATAAATAGATTGAGTTCCTTCAGTCACTTGCTGGAAGGATTCTTTCCCAGGCTGCAACTTATCCTTGTAGTTTTCCCTTGTTCTCGGATAAATCATTGCAAGAATTTATTCATTGATAACTAGAGGTGCACCAATATATCGGTGCTATGTTGGATCAACAGCAATAAAAGGAAAATTAACATTCTTGGCCATAGGCTTTTTTTTGGTTGGTGTAGCTGATAATGTCACCGATAAATATAACATGCTTTCTGGCTGGGGCTTCCAGACTCCATGTGCATGTGCGCAGTCACAGCATGCATGTGACCAGGAATGCAGCCAGGTGGTGTGGACAGCAGAGCTCTGCAGGTAAATCTGTGGGGGGAGGGCAGATCAAGGCCCTCATGGTGAGGGAAGGAGTGGGGCTGGGGATGCTGCCCAACCAGGGTAGTGAATGGGATGTTGGGCTATAGCAGGGAGCAGGATGGAGCTGTGGGCAATTCATCCAGGGGGTGGGGAGGGCAGCGGTTCCCCACTGCTGTGCACACCCCCCAGGGGAGGCATGGGGGGGCATGTGCCCCCCCCATTTGTGTGGGAGCTGGAAGTGGACTGCCGGCTATGGGCTTGGGGCTCTGCTGCTTTTGCCCCGGGGACCCTGCACCAGCTGTGTGCACCCTGCCAGCAGGGCAGCAGTGGGGGTGGCAAGTTGTGCTTCCCACTGCCAGGTGGGCAGGGGATGCATGGCCAGCATGTAGCTCCCAGGGCAAAGGAAACAGAGCAGAAAGCCCAGAGCCCACAGCAGGCAGCCTGGCTCCGCTATCACCCCACTCAGCTCTATTCCTAAAAACAACCCTGTGCTTAAAAATGGTGGTGGTGCTTGAACTAAAGCTCCTTTGACAAGTTTTAGTTCAAATGCCCCTGCTGCCATTTTTAAGTGCTCAGATGCTGATCACCTGGATAAGCTGCCTGTGGCTCTGTCCTGCTCCTGGCTCTGGGGTCCCATTCACTGCCCTGGCTGGGTAGCACCTCATGCCTGTGCCCCTGCCCCACTCTCTCCCTCACCGTGGCGGCTTCAATCTACCCCCCCACACCCTGTCCCCTCCACAGATTTACTTGCAGTGAGCTGCTCTCCATGCTGCCCAGCTGTGCTCCTGTAAATTGGTTATTGGACTGATATTGGCCAAGTTTCCTGGTGAATAATAGGCTATCTGTATCAGCAAAGAAAATCTTTATTGTTGCACCTTTATTGATAACCCCCTGTTCAAAACTGCTTTGAGATGTTTGTCTGTCTTTTAATCCAGTGCCATATTAACTTTTGAATCAAGCTATTTTTTTAAGATAGCATATGGGTACTAAGTCATGTTTTACAACAGTTCCTGTTTATGGTGACATAAGAGAACATAGAATATTTCTCAACCACTTCTATAGTTTTCTTGCAAAAATGATTTGATAACCAGATTCCATTAAAGTATTTTTCCAAGGCATATTAAAATTAACATGATCCAAAGAGCCTGTTGACTCTGAATTTAAAGGCAGTTGGATCAGATTTTTGTCACTGAGTGACAAAAGAACCTTTTATAACTTCTAAATAGGCAGTTAAGGTTTCTGCTGGCATATGGGGAAATGCACTGATAGTAGAAATGAACACGTTCTGTTCCCCTATCCAATGTGAATCAGAGTACTGCATGTTCCACCCTATCCTCCACTTGCAGAGCAGTCCCAGGACCACTGTATCTTAAAGCAGCAGTTAATTCATTTAAAATTACTCTGGAAATAACATGTATCAAATATTGCAGTATCATTTTTCTGCTTCATTTTATGGAATATGTGGACCAGAGCAGTCTAGTAGTCTTTGTATTATTTATGCTATAATAAAAAGCAATGTGCAAATATCAAGCTATTGCCTTCCAAAATTTTTTTTAATATGCAGCACTTCGAATGACTTTCATTAGGAGTCTCTGTAAATCATGCTGGAAGCACCCTGTTTAGTGGCTTCTTTAATGTTTTCATTTTGCCACTTGTTCTCCCCTGCCCTGCTTGGTGGAGGAGCTCTATCAGCTTGGCCGTTTGCTGCTGTTTTAAATATGCCGAGGTTTTTTGCTTTCCTGGCAATCAGTGGCATATGGCCCAGCCTGCAGGGCCTCTCCACTAATCTGGGGTGGGAGAGGGCAAGCAGTGAAATGAAAGCATTAAAGAAGTCATGGGGGGCACTTCTGGTGTGATTTACAGAGATTCCTACCTATCATTAATACGAGTAGTGTAACAGTCTACCAGTGTTTGAACCTAGCATGCCTCGGAGAGACCTGCATAAGTACAGATTTCAGAGAGAGGAAGAATGAAGAAAGATGTTGCTAGTAAAGGCAGAGATGGAGAATTAATTAATTTTACAGCTTTTCTCCTAAAAGTGTATGATGGGGGTTGGGGGGATTAAGTATTCTCTTTTAACATTTTTTTTTTTTTTTTTTTTTTTTTTTTTTTTTTTTTTGGAGGACTTCTTTGAGGAGTAGTTATCTTCCCCTCCAGCTGTCCCACCCCTCTGTTGGAGGGACAGGTTTGGTCATTAAAGGTTGAAGAGAGCTTTGTGTTTTTCAGGATGTTTGTTTTCATTAGCCTATTTAAAAATAAATATTTTTAAGTTGAATCAATGTTCCTTTCCTGCTCCAGTTCAGTTTCCTTTGCTTTTCAGATTCTGTTAGCTTTTTGTTATGCCATAGTCTTCCAGAACAAGGTGAAGATGTACTTAACACTTTTAAGGTAGAAACACACTCCCCCTTTTTTAGTCATCAAGAAATTAGAAACAGAAGTTAAAACTTCCGTATGTGCTAAAGTTTTGTTTTGTGAAAAGCAGATAATTTTCCCCTTTAATTAGATACTAGGTGACGTAGCTAGTCAGAGAAATAGCTGCATGATTGAGATTGTAACACAGGAGGCTCTCTTTTCCAGGAAATAATGCATATTAGGATTAGGTTAGTTTTTTATATTTTACTTGGATGCATGTATTTATAAATTATTTAAGGCAGTCCTGGCCTAAAGAATTTGCCTCTTCCTAAATGTAAATAGACAACTTCTAGCTGTGTACTTTGGCATATGTGGAAAATTCGTTCTTTTATAGGACAAAGTTGATCACATGCATTTTATTTTTTAGATGAAACCTGGTAGGGATCTAGCCTACAGTATTACAGATGCATTTTCTTAGCTAAACCACAAGATGGCTCCAGTAGCTTTTTCACCACTGTAAAATGAGGGAGGTGGGGGGGAACAAATACTTGCACAGTTGGTAGTATTGTATAAGATGTTGTGCAGTTGCCATATAATTTTTTTCCTAGAATTACTTTCACTTTTGCTTTTAAGTTTTAGGTTTGTATTCCAGGTTTTCATTTATATAGGAGACATGATGATGATGTTTTTAGTTATAAAAGATCTGTATTGGCAAAATTATAGTAATCTGAAGTGGTTTTTTTCAAATGTAAATGAAAGGAAACAAGTTATAAAAAGACATGAACTGGAAATGTTCTCCCCTCAAGAACTGAGAATTGGCCACTCAAATCTCTACTTTAAAAAGGGTACCTTTACCAAATAAGTTTAATTAATGCCATTTTTGGTGATGATAACCTACTTTAATTGAGGTACTGGAAACCCTTTCTGCTGATATGTGGGGGGAGAGGGGAGTGATGTATTTGTAGTAGAATTTGTACTTTGTTGTAGAACTTTGCTTCGGTACCTAGCTTTTCATTTAAAATAATATACTCTTCATAATTTTGAAGATCTTTGAACACATTTAGTGTGTAATTGATGCTGTTTGATTAACTGATCTTGTAAATAGTTTAAAGTAATAACTTTGAGAGAAATTAATTGCTGTTTTCTTCTTTCAAAAGGTAACTTCATTTAACTCTGAAACCTAAAGATGCAAATATAATTTTGACACTATATCAGTACTGAGGAGTCTAGCAAAAATATCCAGCTAAATTGTGACCTAAAATGACACCTAGTAATTCATGCCTAAACTTTGGTGCTCAAAGCTCCAGCTTTCTCCAGCAACTTGTTTCATATGGAATACTGATAAGGAAAAATTGTGTTGAAACCAGAAAGTCTTTACATGAGTAAATTTAAAATAAAATGCAGGAGCTACTGTATTGATTGTATGTTTATACTTGATTAATTCATAACCTTTAAATCAAGCTGCTGTAAACTTTTCAATGTCCCACTGCATCAAATCGAAGATATTAGCTGTAGAAACTCTGCTTGAAGTACCTGGAGCTTTGAATATTTCTAGACAGAAAAAAAAATGTTAAGACCTGAGTTATTTTTCAAATATCAGTGCCTGAACAAATTGTATTGTAGGTATGATCCCATTAGTTATCTCATAACAGAGCATTATAAACCCAGAAAATTAAAGTTACACTTAACCCAAACATATTAAAAGTAAGAGCACTCGGACTACTTGAGATTTTCCCTCTAGTGGTGACTTGCAATAATTGTGATTTCTGAATGAGGCAAGTTAGGTCTTTTTAGTTTCATAGTTAGTAGGGTCGGAAGGGACCTGAGCAGATCATCGAGTCCGACCCCCTGCCATGGCAGGAAAGAGTACTGGGGTCAAACGACCCCACCAAGGTGTACATCCAGCCTCCTCCTAAAGACCCCCAGGGTAGGAGCCAGCACCACTTCTTTTGGAAGTTGGTTTCAGATCCTAGCCGCCCTGACTGTGAAGTAGCGCCTCCTGATGTCTAATCTGAATTTACACTCTGCCAGCTTGTGACCGTTATTCCTGGTCACTCCTGGTAGTGCTTGGGGGAACAGGGACTTCTCCAGTGCCTGCTGGTCCCCTCTGACTAGTTTGTTACAGGCCACTAGATCCCCCCTCAGCCTTCTCTTGTGGAGGCTGAACAGGTTCAGGTCCCGTAGCCTGTCCTCGTAGGGCCTGCCCTGCTGCCCCCTGATCATGTGAGTGGCCCTCCTCTGGACCCTTTCCATGTTGTCCACATCCCTCTTGAAGTGCAGCGCCCAGAACTGGATGCAGTACTCCAGCTGCGGCCTGACCAGTGTCGCATAGAGGGGGAGGATCACCTCCTTGGACCTGCTTGAGATGCATCTGTGGATGCATGACAAGGTGCGGTTGGCCTTCCTGACTGCATCCCCACACTGCCGGCCGATATTCATCTTGAAGTCAATGATGACTCCAAGATCCTTTTCTGCCTCTGCACTGATGAGAAGGAAGTTCCCCAGCTTGTAGGTATGGTGCTGGTTCTTTCACCCCAGGTGCAGCACCCTGCGCTTGTCAGTGTTGAATCCCATCCTGTTCTCATTCACAAACCCCTGTAACCTGTCTAGGTCCGATTGCAGCCTATTCCTCCCTTCTAGCGTGCCCGTATTAAACTTTTTTTTAAAGGCACCTTATGCTTTACCCCCTTTTTTACTGAATTTGATTCTGCTCTGTTTATATAGTTAGAGCATTTTGAGTCTGCATAAGTAGCATGGTAGAGCAGGACTGTCCAATTCCTGAGTGGTCGTGGGCTTCATACGTCCTCCCCCATCCCCACTGTACTATCCCAGCACCCCTGTGCTCTGCACATAGCACCATGTAGGTCCTTCCCACTGTGCTGTACAGTAGGCACCGTGCTATGCTGTGCTGTGCTACAAGGAGCCCCTGAGGCTGTCTTAGCTGCACCCCCAGGGATGGGGGAGCCTGAAGATTGTACTGCCAGAACCATGGAGGAAGTGGTGTCCAGACCTGGAGCCCGGGAGTAGAGCATAGGAGTAGAGCATCGTAGGAGTGGGTCTAATTGAAGTATGTGCTTCCCCACCATTGTACTGTCATTCTATCAATGACAGATGGGAACTGGCCCAGCTATCACCACCTGAAAAATCTTTGTCATAGATCCTGGCTGTCACTACTGTCTTCTCTTCAGTCCTGTGTCTTTACATTTACTTGAGGCGTAGTATACATTTGACTCTACAAACCTGTGTCATATATCATAGTTCTGGTGATTACATTGCAGAAAGAAAACGGTGGATTGTGGTAAACTACACTTGTTTACTTAACTATTTTTTGGAACTGATTAAAAAAAATTACCACAGTATAGCCTCAGTCCAAACCAAATTAATACAAATGAGGGTTTGTTAATTAAATAGGCCCTAAATAATTTTAAGATTTGTTTCTAGTTCATGGCTGTTATCACATCGTATTCCTCCCAGCCCACTTCCAGCACTCCATTTCTGTTATAGATTTATTAGTGGCTACGCAAATGAGAATTGAGTGGTCTAAAATGATTAGAATGCTTGCATAATGTTATCATTTAAAGAACTAGGAATTAATCTTAATCCTTAATTTCTTGAACAGTAATGCTACAGCCTTTTGATTATGACCCCAATGAGAAGAGTAAACACAAGTTTATGGTACAGACGATCTTTGCGCCACCAAACATTTCAGATATGGAGGCAGTGGTGAGTAAAATGAATATTGTTTTCTTCAAGATGTTTCTTTATGTAATATATTGAAATCAAACTGTTTCATGATAAACTCTTACTCTTGGAAAAGCCTAGGTTTTTTTTTCCCCTGAACAAATCTGGCTTATGTGAATGATCCAAGATTTTGAATCATAAATGCACAAATATGTCATTGGTACTTTTGACCTACTTAAGCTCTGTTTGAAGGGGAAAGCTAACTGAATAAGGAAATAAGTGTGCATACCAATGGCATGCGGGATAAGTTGACTGTTATAACTTGGGTTTACTGAACCTTACAAGTATTTAATAGGGAGACTGTAGGTTGAAGGAGCTCTGAGAAAATGAAAACATCACGCCCATGGCAAGTTTTAATGACAGAGTCGTTGTTTGATTCACAAAGAGTTAACTAACACACAGAATGTGTTTTCAGTAAAATCAGAACACCTTGAGGGGAGAATGGGCGGTATGTATTTTTCTTCAAGAAGGCAGACTATGCAGAAACATTTGTTTCTTGGAGAGGAAGTACATTTGTAGGTTGAGTTGCACATATTATGTGCTTTGTTGCCAGATAGGATTGGTATGAAAGAAGACTCAGCAAGAAAAGATTTAGTAACTTAATAGGATGGATTGTATCTGAGGGGAAAAGGTAGAGGTTGTGCATATAAGAATAACAGTGGAAAAAATATTGTTGGAAAGTGGCCAGCCCAGGAAAAGTGATTGGAAGAAATGGTCAGAAGACTGTGATGATTCCTTCCTTCTGTAAAGGAAAGATATGTAACATAAAAGGGGAAAAAGATGCAACAATCTGACTAAAAGTGTACACCACAACAAACAGCCTGCTCAACTGAAGAGAGACCATCTGGTATAAGGAGTGAATTTTAGGTATCTGCCAAAAAAAAATTCAAAATGAAAGTTGGTATTAGTAGCTATTAAGGATTTCATAAATATCTAGTCATACCAGAATTACCATTACAGTATCTAGTCATATCATGCATCTACTCCTATTAAAGTAAGGGTGTAGTTACTTGCATGTTGTTTTTTTAAATCTATGGACTAGATGGTGAAAAAATGTATAACAATATACTGATTCAGGGATTGGTTATAAAACTAATTTATGGGATGCATATAGTCTAGTGATTCTGAAGTTATTTTCCAAAAATAGTAGTTCATATGTAGCTGTAACATGAATCTTCTCCTGGCACCATTTTTCAGACCAGATGGTATAAAAGGGTTCTCAGGTCCTGTAGTGTCCATTCTCATCACATTTGGCTAGGCAGTTTCATTAGGTGATTGTCATTGTACAAGAGAAGCAGTAGCTGGGGTATTAAAAGGTGTTCTATTGTACATTTCCTGTATGTTAGCTCAGTGTAATGTTTGTTGTTCTGAAAGGTCTTATCCAAACTTAATTTTCTGATTGCTGTACAGCGAGGCTTGGTTTTATCTGTCCTGGAAGTGGGTGTCATGTGTCAGGCATGCAAAGACATACTTCATAGTTTTAAAAATTCAGTTGGGTAGGCAGGAATATTCTAGCATCTCTTACAATTAAATATATTTGCTGGCTTTGAGCAATTCATAATGTTTATGAGCTGTTCACACTATTTTTGTAGGCCCAAATGACTCTGTGTTAAATTGTACAAACTGATAGTCCAGAAATTTAGATTGTGGATACCTATTGAAACATTCTGAAAAGATTTATTTTGAAGGATAAGATGACTGTTAATTTTGCCACATTATAATACAGTTAGGGATGCACTGGTAAAGGTTTTCGTGGCTGATACTGATAGTCAATTATTAACCAGCCATTTTGGCTGATACTGATCTGATAGCCGATTTACAGGAATGCAGCCTGGCAGCTTCCTGCCAGCAAGTCTGTTAGGGGCAAAGGGGCATGGAGGGGCAGATCAAGGCCCCCATGGTGAGGGAGGGAGTGGGGCAGGGGCAGGTGCTGGCCCGCCAGGCTGGTGATTGGGACCCTGGGACTGGGAGCAGGATGGGGCTGCAGATTGTTTGTTCTGGGGGCACATGGGGGAGCAGGGTGGTTCCCCGCTGCTGCGTGCATCCCTGGGGAGGCATGAGCTTGTCCTGCCCCAAGCACAGCTCTGGCCCAGCCCCCCACTGGGAAGAGGCTGGTGCAGCCCCTGGCCCCGAGCCTGTGGCAGGCAGCCTGCCCTCACCCCATGTGCAAATCTGGGGGGGGAGGGGAGGGCACATGCCTCCTTTGGGGGTGTGTGCAGCAACAGGGAGCCTCCTGCGCCCCCTAGACGAGCTGCCTGCAGTTCCTGCCCTACCTCATTTGCTGCCTTGGCTGGGCAGCACCTG